AATGGCTGCACTGATTTACATTGCCACAAGCAGTGTGCAAGTGTTCTGTTTTCTCCACATCCTTGCCAGCACTTACCTTCTTTCCTTTTTGATAGTAGCCATTCTAACAGGTGTGAGGTGATAACTCATTGTACTTTAAATTTGAAATTCCCTGGTTAGTGATGTTGAGCATTTTTTTCATATACTTTTTGACCATTTATCTTCTTTTAAATAATGTCTATTCAGATCCTTTGACCATTTTTATAATCAAGTTATCTGCTTCCTTATTATTGAGTTGTTTGAGTTTCTTATATATTTTGGTTTGCAGATATTTTCACCCATTCTGTATGCTGTCTCTTTACTCTGTTGATTGTTTCCTTGGCTATGCAGAAGCTTTTTAGTATTATGTAATCCCATTTGTCTATTTTTGTTTTTTATTGTTTTATTGTTTATTGTTTTATTGTTTTAGCTTTTTATTTAGTTGTTTTTATATAGGTTATTAAGTAGGAAATGTCTGATTTCCTTAAGTACTAAGTGTGACAGTTGATATCTCTGACATTTCACTTTGACACTTCTTGTTTTATTTTTTATTGTGGAAGAGCATCCTTAATCTTTCAAACACTTGTTTTGGATTGTGATTATCTTGCAAATTTTTTAGAACAATTTTTGTGAAACCATGAATAAGTCAAAAATTCATATGAGTTCTGTTGTGGAATGTTGTGTCTGTGCAGCACAGACAGCTCGAAATATCAATGACATTTTTGGGAAGGATGTGACTAATGAACATACAGTGGGTCCATGGTTTGAGAAGTTCCACTCTGTTGATTTTAATCTTGACCACGAGCCATGTGGGTGACCTGAGACCAAGGTCCATAATGATGAGCTGAAAGGTGGATGATAATCAGTAGAAGTGAATCCATCTCAAGCTACACGTAAATTAGCAGCAAGGTTTGACATTACTATTCCAAAAATATTGGACTGTTTGAAAAAAAATCAGCAAGGTCAAGAAGCTGGATAGATGGGTTCCACATGAATTAAACAAGTGTCAAAAGATTTTTTTTTTTTTTTTTTTTTTTTTTTTTTTTTGCTGTCATGGCATAAAGGTGAAGCATTTCTACAGTGTATTGTTATGTGTGATGAAAAATAGATTCTTTTTGACAATCACAAGTGTTCGGTACAATGGTTGGATAAAGATGAAGTGGCGAAACAGCCCAAATCTGAATATTCATCAAAAAAAGCTAGTGGTATCTGTTTGGTGGTCCCATGCTGGTATTATCTGCTATAGCTTCATGAAACCTGGTCAGTCTATTACAGTGGATGTGTACTGCAACCAATTGGACAAAATGATGAGAATGCCTGCGATTTAGCAGCCAAGATTGATCAACAGAGAGAGGCCAATCTTTTTGCAAGACAACGCATGACCACATGTCGCAGAAACAATGCTGCTCAAACTACAGAAGCTGGACTTAGAAACTGTCTGTCATCTACTGTATTCACCAGACCTTGTGCCAACTGACTACCACTTCTTCCAGGCTTTGAACCACTTATTGAGAGGAAAAATATTTAATTCTCAACAGGCTATGAAAAATGCCTTTCTCAATTTCACAGCCACTTGCTCCCCAGGCTTCTTCACCACTGGCATAAATAAGCTACCCTTAAGATGGCAAAACTGTGTCTATAGTTTATGTGTATACTTTGATTAATTGTACTGCTTCTTGTTTGAGATGTAAGAAACTACACTTGGATTCGAAATTGGACATTTCATGTTTAATGACTTAATAGTTTTAGGTCTTATGTTTTCTGAACATTTTAATGGCTACATACTGTCCCATTTGTATGAACTGTGTATAGTTTGATGATTTCAGTAAGGCTCAAAAATACACAGTAAACTATTTGAGAACACATGTATATGTGTTAAAACTATTCATGAAAACCAAAGAAATAATAAATTCATGATAGTAGTTATGTCTAGGGGAGAGGCAGGCAGATGGAATGGAAGAATCTATGCAAGCAATTTGGAAGGTCTTAGTTCTTAACTTGACTGGTGGCTTTAAGAGTTTTCTTTGTTCTTCATAACACAAAATATATACATAAATTCTTTTGCATATGTTACATATATTTTATATTTCTCAAATATTTTAAGAAAAACCTTTGGAGAATAGTAGACCAATTTCTACTCTGGGCTAATTGCTTATGCTTATTTTTAGTTCTGGGGTCATTTTATGTTTTATTTGCCATTTTTTTATCATGTATAAAATATTATATATGTATTATTTTGTGAGCCTAAGGGCAAGAACTCTGTTGCAGTGTCTCTGCAAATTAGTAACGTGGGTGTTCTGCCTAGTATAGCCACGGCAATGATTGTTTCACTGAGATCATGTTCATGAGCAGCTGTTCGGTCTGGAGTATTTAGCCAGAGATAGGGAAGGTCATTCACCCAGGGAGCTGAGTCCTCAGAGAGCTCACAGTCGAACTGCTCAGGCCTGCGTCCCGAACGGCACTGGAGGTCTTCCTGCAAAGGAAGCAAGAGCGTGGTGCATGGGAGCATGGATAGGAGGTTGCGGTAGGAGGTGTCTAGAAGGAACTAAAAACAGTGGTGAAATTTGAAGACAGGCCGTGAGAATCAAACTGCTGTGTGTTGATGCAGTTTGTACTCAGGGTAGCTATTAATAAGACTTCATCTTCCATTGAGGTGACTATTTTGCCTGACTAGGTGCCATTGTCACTAATTTCCAAGGTAGTGAGAGAAGTAAGTGTGGCATGTTACTGGAAATGGTTATGTATCAGTTGTATTGTTGTTACTTTTGTAGGTGTTTATATTACTATTGAATCTATTCTAACTCTAAATGTCATTGATAGTGATTTGTATATTTTAAAATGATTATAGTTTATAATTTATGTTTAGCATTTAATATAATCATATTTTAAAACTATAATCTATATCTATCTATAATATATGTTGAGTATGCCTTCTATAAGTTATTTCATTAAGAACAATAGGAGTACTTTTGGGCAAAACACTAATTACCTATATTTTATTTCAGAATTATTTTGAAACCTCTATTTATTAAAAATTTTATTCTTTCCAGAGTCATATTAAATCAGTAGATTCAGGAGAAACTAACATAGATGGAGCCATAGGTGAGTAGACCATGGGCTGTTTTATGTCTTTATTTAAGGTACTTTGATGTTGTGATTTAGAACACAGTAATATTAATAATAACATTTATAATAATTGACTCTATTTCTAGGGCTATTGGCATCAGAAGAATTTATCAAGATCACGTTGTCAGCTTTTGAAGCAATAATACAGTATCCTATTTTATTGAAAGACTATCGCTCTACGGTCAGTTCTGGCAGCTTTGAAAAAAGCTGTTTTTCGTTTATTTGGTAATTCTGTATAAAGGAGACCTAGTTTACATATGCTTGACTCATATGTGTTTCTCATATGAAAAAAACCACTCAGAAAAGCCACCCCCTCCCTGGCAGGATGAACATGGGAAATTCCTTCCCTCTGTGTTAACTTCCTTCCTTGGGATTTTTCTTTGTTCATTATTCTGTTTCCCCTCAGGTTCATACCTTTCCCCCAGCCTACTTCTTCTTGCCTGAATATTTGTTATAATCCATAGTACAAACCCTTAGAGCAGGATATTTCAACTTTGGCACTAAGGGCATTTTGGGATGGACAATTCTTTGTTGTGGGGGACTGTCCTGTGCATTGTGGAAAGTTTAGCAGCATCCCTGGCTTCTAGCACCTGTTCCATCTCCCTTCAGTTGTGACAACCAATTGTTCTCTACACATTGACATATATCCTCTGGGTGGCAAAATTGCCCCCATTTGAGAACCTGTGCCTTTAAGGGATCCTTAGATGATCTGGGTGCTGACTTTAGAGAGAAGAAAACCTCCCTCCTTTCCTATTTGCAGAAAGGCCCCTAGAAGAGGAGCCAGATAGGAGGAGAACTGAGATTGTGGTGTGAGGAGCAGTATCGGGTGTCACCAGCAGGTGGCGTTCCCATCTCCTGCCCCTGCCCCCTACTGAAGCACTGATGATTTGGTACAGGGAAGCTGTGGGCCTGAGCCTCAGCTTCTGCCTGTTCTGGCCTCCTGTCTCATTTAGCATTTGACCCAAACAATAGTGACCGATTTTTGACCGATAACAAATTACATGGGCATCGGAGGCATAACCCAGGAGAGATTTTGATATGAAAATGTTTTTCAAATTTCAAAAAACTAACCCTACAGGCAGAATTTTAGACAGCAGTCTCTCGTGAGTTGGGGACTGATTATAATGATCATGAATGAAAGTATCGAATTTAGAAGTTAATTATGAAGTAAAGAAAAATTAATTTTTGACACCTTCGTAGTCACATAGATACCATTGTAGATCTAAATTCTGGAATTTGTCTCCTCACATTATTCTCCTCCACTCCTTACCCACCATGTACATACATATGTACACCCACACACCACACACACACACACACACACACACACACACACACACACACACACACACACACACACACACACAGTCTTAGCTCTCTTTTTTGCATTGAATCCTTCACTTAAATAGTATCTTCCTTGGCTTGTGACATCTTGGAATTAGCTTAGTTCTGATTTGGGTTTTTATTGTATGCATATTAAAAATTTTTAATTTATAGAATGTTTATAGATTTAGGTTTAGAACCTATAGATATAGGTTCACAATGCTAGAAAAGTATACATCTTTGTTTCCTAAATTACTGTTAAAATCAGATGTAAATGACTTTATTTGGAACTTTAGATTCTAGTTAACATACTTAACATTTTTTTTTTTTTTTTTTGAGACAGAGTCTCGCTTTGTTGCCCAGGCTAGAGTGAGTGCCGTGGCGTGCCTAGCTCACAAGCAACCTCAAACTCCTGGCTCAAGCAATCCTCCTGCCTCAGTCCTCCCGAGTAGCTGGACTACAGGCATGTGCCACCATGCCCAGCTAATTTTTCTCTATATATATTAGTTGGCCAAATTTTTTTTTAAAAAATTTTTTTTTCATTATAGTAGAGACGGATCCGCTCTCGCTCGGTCATGGGCCTGGTTTTGAACTCCTGACCTTGAGTGATCCTCCCGCCTCGGCTTTCCAGAGTGCTAGGATTACAGGCGTGAGCCACCACGCCTGGCCATTCTTAACATTTTTATGGAATAATATTTAGAAGACTGTGTAAGTCCCTAAATGTTACAATGTTAAGATGGTATTACTACCAGCTACCCAGCCTTCAAAAAAGTAAATAGTCCATACAAGTGTCTCTTTTGTCCATGTTTTTTCACAATCCCTTTATAGATACCCTGCTTTTCTAGTTTTCATTTACTTAAAAATTTTTTCTTAAAATTTTATTCTCTTATTGATTTTTTAAAATTTCTTAACATTTCAATGAGATTGCGTTTGCTTCAATGATGGTAATGGTGGGACAAAAGTGTTGGTGTTTCAAAGTATGAAGCATTTATATATCTGAAATTTTAAGGCTTGTTTAGTTGTGTTCGACTTCCTGTATTAGAGAACGTTATTAAAAGATAATTGGGAAATATCAGAATTCTGATATTGAACTCTCCATTTTTCTTATTTTAGCTCCAAGAAGGAAGTGTAGAGTTATAAGAAAGATGGAAAACAGTAATATAAAGTTCAGTGACTTTTCCTTAAAATTTTTTTTTGTATCTGATTTAATGTTTAAACCAAGGCTTCAAGTTAGTTCTATTCATATTCAATTATCTTTAAGTGATCATTCAATATTTACTGATTGTCTTGCGTTATCATATACTAGGTACTACTATAGGTAAAGGAGAAAGAAGTGAACAAAATGAAGTACCTGCTCCCAAGGAGCCTTCAATTTAAGTAGGGAGGTAGACAGTAACAAATAGTCAAATAAATATATAATATATCAGATAGTAGTAAGTGCTATGAAGAAAAAACATCAGGGTATGAATGGGTAAGTGGTGGTGACGTGTTGTATAGAAGATTTTTACCTCTTTAATAATGAGATGTCAGGCAGACACCTGACATACCTGGGGAGAGAGCTTTCTAGGCAGAGGGAGTAGGAAGTACAAAAACAGTAAGGAGTGAGTTTGCTCAGGGACTCCTGAAGTGGTTGATGATGCAGCTGTTGCGGAGCAGTCTTTCAGGAGATCAGGGTGGACAGATGGAGCTGGAAGGAGTAGCAGACCATGGGGCGCTCTTGGCCATGGCAATGAATTTGGATTTTACTCTGATTATTTGCTGTCAATTCCAGAGCCGTTCCATTCCTGTCCCACAAATAATTTTAAATGTGATTTTACAGGTAGGAATAATTTTTGCAACAATAGCAATCATTTTGGTATTCTCTTTCATGGTTCCCAGCGTTGACTGAGCTCAGCAAGTCAGTTTTCACTCAGGCCAGGTCTTTCATGTGGTTCGGGTCAGGTGATGCCTAGGGCTGGAATCATCTGAAGGCTTCTGGGGCATTTCTCTCCATCTCTAGGTGGTCCTCTAACAGAGTGACTTCAGGGAGTCCTGACTTCTTCCATGGGAGCTCATGGCTCTAAAGACACATGTCCCGAGAGAAGGGATGATGAGTTTTTGAGAGAAGGAAATTTCTACCCATTCTTTATGGTTGTTTTCTTGTTTTTGTTTTATATATTGTAAAGTAAAATACACAAAAGTGTATTAAAGTGTATGTAGCTTAACAGGTAGTTATAAAGCAAGCACTCAGGAAATTACCACTCAGTGATTTACCCTCAGAGGTGACCACCACCTGGACTGTGATAGTAATCATTCCTGTGCATTTCTGTATAGGCCTGTGTGTGCATTCCTAAACAATATAGATTGGTTTGCCTACTTTGAGTCTTTAACGTTACAGAATACATTTATTTGTGACTTACTTTTTTTGTTTAGTATTTATAAGTCATCCATGTTGTTTAATATTTCATCAATGTATAGTATCCCACTGTATGAATATGTGTGTGTGAATAATCATAGTACCTTTATTTGCTTTTGATAGACATTAGGTTGTTTCTAGTTTTATAGGCAATATTTCTATGCATATTACTGTTTATGTATTTCTAGTATTCTCTCTCTCTCTCTCTCTCTCTCTCTCACACTCTCAAGAACAGAATTAGTGATTATTGGGTATATGTAAACTTAGTTTATCTAGAAAATGCCATAGTGTTTTCCAAAGAGGTGAAACCTACCGGTTTATGTTCACATCAGCAGGGCAGTACCTGATGCTTGCCACCCTTCCTAACTCTTGTTATTTTAGACTTTTTAATGGATAAGGAGTGAATTGTTTTTTTACCAGGACTATTAATGAGTCTGAGTGGCTTTCACCTGTGTATTGACTATTTGGCTATACCCATACTGTTTTGTAAAGTGTGTGTTCAGGTATTCTCTTGAGTTGGCCTTTTCTCATGGAATTCTTTATGTTTTATGGATACTAGGCCTCTGAAGATTATTGCTTCTGTCAGGTTTTGCAAGCCTCATAAAATAAGTTGGGGATTGTATTCCCTCCTATCTTCTAAAGGGTTGAAATTATTTTTTCTTTGAATATTGGTAGAATTTTCCTGTGAAGCTGGATATTTTCTCAGGGAGGTGAGGGTTGTCTTTATAGTTTTCTGTTTCTTCTTAGTTCAGTTTTTATTAGTTTTGTATGACTTTGGTTTTTTTACTTAGTTTTTAAAATTTATTGGCATAAAGAAGTTCATGATATTTTCTTGCCATCTTTTTGTAGTTTGTGTAATCTGATGTCTTCTTTTAAAATTTTGATATTTATTGTTCCTTTTTTCATTAACAGTCTAACTCCAGAGGTTTGTTAGTTTTATTGACTTTATTGAAGAGCCATTATTCAGTTTTGCTAATCTCCTCTATGATGTTTGTTTTTGATTTAATCTATTTGTGCTCTAATAATCCTTATTTCCTTTCTCTTTCTTTGAGTCTATTTTGTATTCCTTTTCTAATTTTTTTACATAAATTTAGCTTGTTTTCTATATTATTTTCTAATATATGAATTTCAGACTATGTTTCTCTCTAAATACTGCTTGCTTTAGCAATATCCCAAGTTATGGTATATAGAATTGTTATCTTTTAGTTAAAATATTTTCTATTTTTCTTCTTTGATTCATGGGTTATTTAATGTGTATTTAAATTTCATATGGCTACATATAACTATCTTCATATAATTGATTTCTAGGTTAATTGCTTTGAAGTTAGAGAATAGACTCTCTGATTCCAATCTGCCAAAATTTATTAAAATTTGCTTTTTAGATCATTATTAGATTATTTCTTGTAGATGTTCTGTATGTTTGAGAAGAATATGTATTTTGCAGATGTTGCTGCAGTATTCAA